ACGATTTTTTTATTTATTTTACATTAGCTTTTACTTGTGTCTTTGTTTACTTTATTTGAGACATAAGATATTCCTCGTGAAAGCACATTTATTTAGGTAGACTTTGTACAAAATCTGTACCTCTTTCTCATGTACGTACATTTCAGTCGTCAAGCAACTTGATTTGCTACTAGATAGTTTAATCACAGCATACGAAGGCATCTTAGTCTTTATGAATACTAGCACATGAGTGCCTCTCGTGTCTATGGTGCTCTACATGTAGACGTAGTTAGTAGTCAAACGACGATCGGAATAAAACAATCTGAGCTGAGTTTCAAACCCCTAGCGGTGAGCTTAGACTAAAGTCATATCCATCAGCCGTTCCATGAGACCTTCTGCGGGTTTGGAATGTCATCTGCACTCGCCTATCGTCCGTAAAGGCCCACTGCGGCCAACAGCGTTAGAGTAGTCCAAATAAAGTCAGCTTGTTTGCTATTTCACTTACATCATTGTTTTTTTGTAAAGCACATTCTTACAAAATATTTCTCTACTAGGTACCTATTTGCTATTTTTGGTGCGCATCAAGTTACATTGTTATTTGTTACTATTACTGAACTAGTAGCTCAGCGAAGTATGGACGAATCATGTGATTATGTTATATACAAATCTCTGTACTAATATTATAAAGATAAATTAATGTTTGTTGTAATTTTTATGCTGACAATAGCATTAAAAACTTTACTGCTACTGTTTTCTTGCGGAGTACTCTTGATATCGATATGCGATAACTTCGCTAAAACTAAACCCATTTCGAAATGTAATTTATTGAATAAATGTGGTTTGTGGTTTTACATAATGGTTACATATGTGCAGAATACAGACAATCATTTCTGATTTCCAACAGACATTATGTGATGTGCCATTTAACTACTGTATTTTTATATATAAAAAAAAAATCTAATTTCTATCAACATGTCCTTATTAGAATAAATTGGTTTTATTTTATAAAATACGTTATACATATTTTGTGAGTATCTTTAACCCTTTACGCAGAGCATACAGCGGAAGCACTCAAAATGAATATTTTTTGCCACATTTTTCTGCTTTGCTGCTCCGCTCTTATTGATCGTATCATGACTGTATATAGCTTATAGCATTCGGGGATAAGATACATACGTTCCTAACAGTGAAAGAATTTTTAACGTTCGTTCAGCAGAACCGGAGTCCGAGCCCGAATAAACAAACATACAAACTTTTAATAACATAAAGATATATTATTGGTATAGCTATATTATTATACCTATATGAACATAGAATTATTGTATCTACATTATTTTGTGAAACATGAACCTTATATTTTACGTTATTTGCCTGAATACAATGTATTGAAATATTGATGTTATTAAGTACCCAGGCAAAAGCAACTCGTAGTAAAAAAATATTATATACATTATTACTAATGACAAATATTATTTGTGTATACATATTGCTAATGAAATTTCACTTTTGATTGTTGATAATATTTATTCGTGTATTTGTCATCGTGTAGATAAAATTTAAAATCATTTTTCGCGGAAATGTCCAAGTTCATGATTAAAATTCACATGTTTTATTATGAGCTTTACCTCGCCGGAACATTTTACATAATTACAGCAGCCCTAATTTACGTCGCGCACTCGTTGGTACATCAGATAAGTTCGATTTTTAGTTGAATTACCCCAATTACAATCAATTTAATCGCGAAGGGAGTGAACTTTGGTAGTGCTTTATTGATCTTAAGTATAATGGGAAGCTATGACCTTTGTATAATGTTTTTATTATTCCCATACGACATATTGTTTATTTTTCGAGCTTGTTTTAGGGTTCTGTGTCATTTTTCTGTTGTTCTTTTAATGCTATCATCTACATCGTCAAAAAACAAAGATTGTCATATACGTCACGAGAACGAGACCTAGGGCAATGTCATATGAACCGGCGTATTCCGAGTCTAATGCGAGAGTCCGCGAAACCTACAAGTGATAATGCTATTCTTTTACCCATGGCCTCATTAGTCAATGTTTTGTTACATTCGGTGTACCGTTACAAACATTCTACTTCGTCTTGTATCAGCCAACCGTTACCTGCAGACTATCACGACTTCAACGTTTCATTGGACGAATCAACGCAACACTTTCGTGTTAGGGTTTTTTGTGCACTAGTTCTCATTTCAAAAAGGTTGATAATGTCATCTATTTATAATTTTACGGCCTCGGTGGTATAGCGGCTAGCACACAGCTTTATTTCCGATGGTCGCGGATTCGATTCCTTGCACGATGCATACTTTTGTATTGGTGAGTATGATTGTTTGAACTTGTAGTTTTCTTCTTTTTAAATACAAAATACAGAAAAGAAAGAACTTTTCTGTATTTTGTAATTAAAAAGTACATTTAAATATTTCTATTCATCGTTTAGTACTTATAATACAAGTTCTGTTTAGCTTGAGACTAGACGGCGCTGTGTGTGTTGTCCATTGTTGTTATTATTATTAATATTAGGCTTTATAATTTAATCCTTGAATAGATTTTAGCCTTAGTTATTTGTATGTCAAAAATAAATAATTAGTAGGTACATCCGTATATCATATTTGGATTTTACTTTTAAATGAGAATTGACAGGAATTTTTACTTGCAAGTTATTGACGAGATAATCTCCCGAAATAAATTAATAAGTGATGTATAGAGCCATTACATAAGAATAATATGTCAAGATCGTGTGAAAGGGCAGACGTTGGGTAATTGGGCGTTAAAATGTTACAACCCAATCACCCAGTCTATATAATAATATCTATGTTATTGTTATGTAGGTTGCTCATTGTGGAATGCCATAGAGTCTAGGTCTCATTCCGGATCAAGACAAACTTAACGACCTCATTAATATGAATCGACTTGGTAGTTTGCGTAATACGATCTAAAGAAACTGTTCTACATACTTCATGTATGTTACACATTGTACATAGGGGTCATTGACATAGGTTAGGCACATACCAACTGGCCTGTGCAATTAATAACCGCGTTTGTAAAAATATTAGAAAGATTTTGTACCATTGTCTTATATCTATCTACTGACAATCTATCAATTTTCGTGTACTACTTTTGTGTATTGATTTTCCTCAGTCTGATATCTTATTATGTGTACGCGTTAGTTTTTATCGATATCTGTTTCTTTTTTTGCGATCTACTTGCTACTGGAATAACAAAATAGGAAATAAAATTGCTACTGATAATTGCAATCGCTGACCTCTTTTCCAGAGTAATTCAAATGATATACGTGTTGTTTAAGAAATACTGACCTAGTGACATGACACAATGATGCTTTCTATTTCTAGAACAATAATGACCATTAAATCAATAAAGTGCTAGCAAAATTGTCGCATTATTGCGGCATGCAATAACCGTCAAGCAGTAGCTTGTTTTGTAGTGAATTTATAGGATAAGGACTAAGGAGCAATCTGTAATTTATGTCACATCAATTGTAGTAAATTTTACCTCGTCCCTGTCACAGATGGTTACAGTTTAATTGTTAAAATTTCGGCTTTTGCAACTCCTTCAAACTCTTTTTATACAATTCCACACGCCCGTTAACCAGGGACGAATTTACGGATGTCTACTTAGATGTATGGCATCTTAGTCCAGGAATGAGACGCATGAGTGACATTAAGGGCGTCACATGATAACGTGATGTTCGTAGTCCTTTTCATGTATATAGACGACGGTTTTTTTTAATGATGATAATGGAATGGTGCACTCGTATGCTAACGGTTTACGCTGGCGGGGCACCAGTGGAGGATGATAAGATGAGCATGAGGTTAGGTCACTTTGCCCATCATGACAATTTCACCAAGAATTTATCACGATGATATCCAGGGGGAACCGTATGGAGATCAACCTGACCATTTATTGCTAGTAATAAGATCATAAATCCGCATTACTAACAATCCCCTATATACCACGGTTAGGTACCGCTTATCAGGTGGTCCGTCAGCTTGTTAGCTATACCAATTACATAAAACAAAATAGTATTGAAATCTTTTACGAGCGGTACTGCACCGATTGTGTCGGCTCACATAATCAATAGTAATAGGAGTATGTAGGTACCCAGATGTAATTTGAATACAATAACCGCAGCTTGTACGTATGTGTAGGTTGTGAGATTGCATGTTGAATGTTGACACGATTATAATTAAGTTTACGTATACATTTTCAAAGTATAATTTACGATTGTAATAAAATAGATACCGGAAGTGCAATGAAATGAATTATAATTGAATTCTAAAGGAGCAATATATGAAAGATAATGATGAAGTATGGCCTGTTACAATTTTATGTTGTTTTGTTTATTGTCTTTGTCATGTAAGATTAGACTTAAGTTCCTTCCTAGTTGTATTAGCCATAGAGTATTCCCTTAGTAATAGTGTAATATATATTACGGGATTTTTTTTATCTAAGGGAATACTCACACTATCATATATATTGACCGTAAATGATTAAACTTGTCATAAGTGTCTGTAATGGACCTACATGAATAAATATATTATAAATTTCAATTTAATCTTATTGTTATTAATAATATATATCATAATAGTAATACGAGAAACAAAAACTATACTCTTTTTAAATTTTTTACAAAGAAGGAGGAATATGAAAACCACAGTTAAAGTTTATCTGGAGAAGTGTAGAAGGGTATTATAATATATATTTTTTATAATAATGCGGAAAGTGCATTAAATTTATTAAAAAATAAAAAAGAAACAGTGCACACATTATCATTCATATGACACACAGATTAATCTTGCACATCTGTTATGACGGATTGAGGACATTAACGTATTGGTTTATTTTCTTTATTCCATGGTAGTAGTGCGTTTAGTCGATGATAACACCAGCCGGGGTGCTTTTCAGAAGGTTATCATTATCAGATGACGATAGCCCAGCCCCCACCAGCGGCTACTTGTCTGCCCTCATCAGTAGCATTCGAATCGCCGTGCGCTTTGCACGCCACGCATATGAGCACGCGCTCAATCGCAGTGAAAGTCGCGCGCGCAGGTTACGCTACGATTTCGTGCGTCGACATCTTCGTCTAGAGTTATTCTGTTTGTTCGTTGCGCCAGTGCAACAGGGAAAGGAGGTCGGTGCTCGGCCACAACCCGTAAGAGTAACGTGATTTGTGTGATTGTGACGTTTTAAAACATTCCCGAAATATACGGTGGCATTATCAAATGTTTTGAGCTGCGTATTTATACTTATTTTTTTAAATATAATTTTCTTATCGTGATCTTTTGGGTTAGGAAAATTAGGTATTCTTTAATACAATTTTTGACGTAGTTTACTGTGATATTTCTGAGAGCTACCGTCATTGTAACAATAAAAATGTATACACAACAATGCCAAGTGATTCGTTCTAATACGAAATTGGCATGGATTTTTTATTTGTTTAATTTAAATTAATGTACCACCACGACAGATTATATATGCAACTAATTTCACCAAATATACTGCGAAGTTGGATTTAAGTTGGTCTATAAAACTGCACACCGTGTTGCACAGACAAAGTGAAATCGAGCGTGCGGCCATGACCCCACATACCATTTCTCTAACTCTGATCTACCTTCTATTACATTAAAGCTTTTTTTACGAATCTGAACTAATATTACATAGAGGAAATATTATTTTTTTATTTGGAAATATTAACTGTTTCTAATAAAATAAATCACCAAGTACAACTTCGTTCCGTGAAGTTGTAAATCCCAGTTGCGGTCAACAGCTTTAGAATAATTAGAAAAACCAATAGTAAGCCATTTATTGGTATTTTATTTTCAAAGGATTACTCCATCTAGAATAACAGTCGTGGCGGTTTGTTATTTTCAAATAAATTTGAGATATTTGTATCAAATGCATCAGTGCGTTGGCGGGGCGTGTCGTTAGAAATTTATACATTTACCAAACCATTATAAAAAAGTTAACTGTTTTAATATTTTTTTAGTGTGGGGATGAAAAGCAGGAGCCACAATCTCGTGATCTTAAACAGCATCTAATTTCTCACATCCGTAATAAAACGTCATCGTATTTACACTCAGAAATCTGATAATAAATCCAATTTATAACGGTAATAATGATTGCCCTCTACATGTTCCATCAAAAAAGCATATAAAAACTTTATAGCTTGATCGATTATGACACATGAAAATGTATGATTTAGGTATCACTAGTTACGTATGTTTAGGTTTCTTGCCTTCTACTCAAGGAAAATTTTGCTTGTTTACAATTTGGATTGTCAGTTTATATATTTTATAATTGCCAGTTATTACATCTTTAATTAAAAGTTGTCTAAATACTGATATTGTTCCTATAAATGTCCGACAAATTCGTAAATAGTTTCGAATTTGATGATTTTTTTTTATTTTAGATGTTATACATACATATATATATATATATATATATATATACATACATAATTTACATAACACAGACCGATTTAAACAATCATACACAGGAATACAAATGTTTGTACAGTGCGAGGAATCGAACCCGCGACCATCGGAAGTAAGACGGTGTAAATTAAATTGAGGGTTTTAACTTTTAGTGAAACAGTAATATAATTTTATTAAATAAATAAGCTAAACAACGGATATACAGACAACAACAGTCAATGATATATTTAGAATCCATGTAATAATTTCTCATGGGTACTTACAGATAATTTAATCCATCCTTTAATCTACATCCCGTGCCAAATTTCGGATACAAATTCTTATACATCCATCTCAATCTCCTGTTGATATGATCGTGAGTAAGCAAGTAGTAGATCTCATTGTAGATATTTCAATTTCAATCACTGTGGGATTGAAAAATTATCTTATCGAGCGCACTTGTTCCTAAGTATTATTATTAACTATATTGGTGAACAGATATTTATCAAAATTGTTAAATATACCACTTAGAATAAAAACAAATTAAACCTTGAATTTTCGGGACTCTAAATGTGTAGAATTTCTATCGTTACTACTTACTAGTTCGAGATGTCTTAAATCGTGCGTGCTTGGATTTTTATAAAGCTTTTATTGTTACATTAGTTGGAAACCTAGCGGCTTTCGTCGTTCTGAAACTTATATCCCGTACTCTAACTAACTTCCAATTTCTGTAGGAAATATACTGCTTAATTGACGGCCCCGGTGGTCTAATGTACTTATTTACAAATATATACATATATATATATATATATATACATATACATATATGCCTTAATTGTCTACCCATAACACAAGCTCTGCTTAATGGGACTAGATGTCCTATGTGAATTGTTCGAGGTTATTATTATTATTAATTAATATAAAAGAAAAAATGTCATGACTGGATATCGGTGTACATTCATATTATTCACGAATAGCATACCCATTTGGAGCTTTAATTAATAAAATAAACCAAAAAAATACTGACCGTCAGTTTTCAATATTGACAGTTTCCAGAGTCTGTAAACAAACGACATTAGTTTTATACTATTATAATATTTATTAGCATAGATTAATAATAACTGAACTAAATGGATAGCATCTCAAATGTAAAGCTGGAACTAATTTCCGTTTATGGAATTAGATGAAGTCTGAATATTGGAAAGGCGTAACAGAATTTTCACTCCAGTTAACGTGAAAATAAAAATTGCACCAAATTAAATTCTTAAATTCTGTGTAACAAATCATTGTATCATTCTTATAATCGTATCTGAGAGAGATTCTTATAACTGCTCATAAAAAGCTTGTTTTTAATAGATTTTTGCTTATGTTTATCAACGTGAGATTTCTCATTATAACGTTTCACATGATATTTGCAACATAATATACCGACAAGTATTTTATAGTAAAATTCGCATTCTGTTGATTAACGGAATAGCAGGCACAGTTCGTGTTGTGTAAGTACCATTGCGCTTTGAAATCGGACACGACCTACATTTTTCTAGCAATGGACGTAACTTGAGTATTGTGGTATGCACCGCATGGAAGCCGACTCAATAAAATGTGTGCAAGGTGCTAACCACAGACACGTAGAAATAGACGATGGAAGTACCTCAAATAATATGAACTCTATATCTGTCTCGTCTACTGGCCAGGATGTTGGAAATCTTATATTTGCCAATTTTTAGTGCTGGAGTATCTCACTGCGGTACTAGAAATTTGTTACATTACTATAAGTTATATAATTTAAGTTTGTTATCAATTCTTCAATCTTTTCTCGATATATTATTTTATTTATTAAAAAAATCAAAATTTAAATCTAGTCAGTTAGATTCTGTTAAAACTAAGATAGGAGCAAAAATAGCAATTGTAACGTCTACTTAATTCCATATATACATAGTATCTCGCACCAATGATAATATACTTTAAGTTCTATCTATTCTATCTATTCTGTATTCTTTTCTTCATATATTATAATCTTTATGTAGGAATTCCAAAAATCAAAATTAAGATTAAAAATAGCAGCTGCCTAACATTTACTTAATTCCATGGGTATGTTGCTATTGCCATAAGTTATGATATTTATTTATTTACAATAATTCCAGTCATTTATATTTAATGAATGGCCTTAAATTAATCTTTTGGATTGACCTTAAATAATTAGTTTAGTTTTTTATATTCACATTTTAATCTTATGTACTTATAAAATTAATTCTATTAATTGATGTAGAACTTATACACTTTTAATTATGTGTAACTTACTAATAAAATAATATGAGGTGACGTATTAGCAGAATGCTTTTTAGAAGGAAATATAATGGTATCTAAACCAGTTTACAGTAAGTGCAAATTAGGTTAGATATTTATTGTTCAATGCTCTCATTAGTCGTGATATTTTCTTAATGTCTTTCACGGTCAATGTAAATATAATATTCACGTATCATGCATAATTATTTTGTACGTTTTTATTGTGTTGAGCTTGTCATCGGTGACAAAAGCTTTGTGTACCTTGACTGAGTTACTGACCTCTTAACGGGAAACTCGTCATTTTGTTTGTTTTAAACCTGAATTACTATAACAAAGGACGTTATGCACAGAAACCTGGTTTTGGTTTAAATACCAACTGTCTATATTGGCATTGATATAGAATAGGTACATATAACCATATTTATTTTGCATGTAAGTCTCTGACTTGAGATTTTATAAGGAAAATATAATTTGTGTATTTAAATGTATTTTATATTATATAATATTATAAAATTTAATTGTTTGTGTGTTTGTCTATAGCCTCAAAAACTACTTGTCTAATTTTTAAAATTATTTTCCTGTTTCAAATGTAAATGATTCCGGAGTGGTGTAGGCCATATATGTATTCAGTTAATATGTGTATCGAAACTAAAAAAAAATATGATTTCCCGGCCAGCGTAAGCTTCTAGCTATAAAATGAGTTACTCTTTTTAGCAATGGATCTTTTTAACCATTCGTAATGTATTATTTTACGTATTAACACAGTTCTTATTTCGTTAATAATTATTATTAGTAAGGTATGAAGCCGCTGGTATAACCAAGAATTAGGTTGCACGCGTGCAAAAGTTCTGATTAATGATATATTTAGTTGTGGGTACTGTAGTTTGGGAATATGTCCAAATAACATCTTAAAGAATTTCTGCATTTAGATGAATTCCTTCATAATGATGAGTCATGTATGCATCTTTTTAAGCTTATATCTGACACACATAAACACGTTTTTAAGATACTTCAAGCGCATTAATCGCTTAAAATAAGAATAATAAATAAAATAGTCTGGAAGAAGTTGGGTACTATTTCTAAGTGCTTATAAGTTGATTGTTTTTTCGGACTACTCTAATGCTATCGGCTGCAGTTGGCCTTTACAGCTTCACCGGAAGATAAAGTAGGTGGTAGATGCACAGGAATAGTGCTACTCTTTTTTCTATTTATTGTTCGTGCTTAGTTGATTCATTTTGAAGTGAATTTTATATTTCTTCCTTCATTAAATTAATAGTTGTATAAGAAAATAAAGGCACATGTATAATTATACATCCCTCAGTAATAAAAAAATAAAAAGGTATTCTGCATAAATGATGCTTCAATACAGTACCACAATTTTTAATGTTTTACAACTATTTATTTATCTATTATTGTATTACTGTGGAAATAAATATTTACTATATTAAACATA